GGCCAATTATTCACTTTTGTCAGATGCACTTTCAGTGTTTGGTCTCCTGCCCTGCAATCCCTCAACTTGCGTTTTCGGTCTAGGTTACTTCTCCCCATCCATATGGTTCTCACATCTGTAAGAGTGACAGCTGAGTGAGTCACGGTCATGCTTAACTTTAAGCACAAAGGTGTCTAATTCTTGGTCTTAAAAATGCACGACTGCATTGTAAGAAGCCATAGGCTACAACACAGAGGTTCAAAGCACTGCCACAGAGCGCACAGATGTATATGTCAACTCTCTTGCCCCCTCTGCCCCAATTTCAGGACCCAAGATAACCAAACAAGAGTCAAATTTCCACTCATTTCCTGAGGTTGCTCGACAGCCTTGGACAGCATCAGATGAATGCTGTGGATCACTAAGTTTCTGTCTCCTGGTCCTTTTAACACACATTCAGCCGTCTCCCTTTCTCATCAGGGGACTTCTCCTGAAGAGGTGCCGAGCTCCAAGACAAAGACACGACTGATTCTTATATCTGTTCCAACAAGGGGCTCCATGGCTATAGCAAATGCAGCATTTCACTGTGTCCAACTGAGGTCCTTCTCCTGAGGCCTAACAACACAAAAGACATTTTGTAATAGCTCCCTTTGAAATCAAATTAGTAATGTTTCAAGGCGTGACCCGTAAAGGGTTGCTGTCCAGAATCTACATGTGTTTGACAGATACATCTTCCACCTAACGGGCCTCTTCCAGAGTACAGATGGAATCAAGATGTGTGAACGTAACTCCAAAAAGAGAGCCATGGGATAACAGGATACACAGCAAAGCGCTCTATCTCAACAGATGAAAAGGAAGCAATAGCAGATACAGTGTGAAATAGCTCACTCCAGCTGGTAGGCCAGATTCTGACACCATTATATAGGTGAGATTATTGCAGAGGAAGATGCTATTCCATATGTGCAAAAGCTAGCAAAATACAGCCCAAAGTAAACTATACAGCCTTGTGCCAACTCGTTATAAAGGTCATACAAATTCACAATCTCCTTTTTCACAAATGCTCATACATACAAAATTCAAAAAGTTACTCCAGGCTGTAGCTCTGTATATCCACGTACCCTTGCAGTATGGAGTGTTGAGTCTTCAGCCAGCAGCTTATTTTTACCTAGCCAGATACTCTTGTTAGCTGAAGCATGATATCTTACATACAGTGTGTGCTTGGTTTCAGAGGGCTAATAAAGAATAGATGACATGCTGGAGATATATACTGGTACCTCAGGGCACAGAAACTGGGTTTTGACAGGAAAGCAAAATGAACTGAAACAACAGAAAAGAAAGTGAGTTTTATATTTGCCATGATATGCTTTCTTATCTGCCAGAAAGGCAACCACCCCATTGTCCTGCAGAGTGAATCTCTCTGAAGCAGGGGTATAACGATGAGAACTCCTTCCCACAGTGTATGAAAATGGGAAATCGTTCAGTAGTTGGCCTTTCTAACACCCACAGGCCCCGACTGATTACAGGGGAAAAAAAAATGATTTAGAGCACAACAACTTTGTAAGGCAGGCCAGGCCTCAGCTCCATAATTCATTTTCACATGAATTCACAGACTCAAAAAAAAATTCATGGTAGTGTATCAAAAAGCCCTATAACAGCCAACTAAGATGAAACACCTGCTGGCAGGATCTGCACCAGCTACTTGCTGCCAGTGTTCACTGCCTGAGAAGAGGACACAGCTACGTGTGTTTTGTAAGAAGAAACAGAATTCAAGGCAAAGCCCTAAGACCAGGTAGTGCACCTTCACAGCCTGAGTATCACAACTAGTCATTTCTGAAAACAATCTAGATACTTCAAGCTAGGAAAAGCCTGTACTGATGGTGTACTGATCTTACATCTGATTTCCAGTGGTTAATGTCTTTGATGACCTTCAAGTTCTGTCTGTGCTAACAGAAAGAGCAATTGTTGTGGGAAACACGACAAATTTCTGCCTTCTTACAAAGAGGACAGAGGAGCATGCAGTACTCTTAGGCAGTTCTGAGATAAGATTATAGTCAAGACTTGACCCAAATTCTTATATCAACATTTTCAGCTGCATTTGACTACATAAAAAGCTGTAAGTCACTGACTAACACTCATGATTTTCACACTGTTTATCAGGAAGTTGCTGTTGTGAGCAGGTAACTATCAAATCAATTACAGAACTAAATGAGAGTGCCATTCTGATCAATCTGGAGAACAGCATTCCTGTGAGATAAACACAATCTGAGAACAAATCCTGATATCAAAAAGAGGACACAATTCAGTTTAACTCTCCACATTCATGCAAATCTTTCTGTTTGCACTACCAGAGCCATCAGTTATGCCTTCGACTTGGGTCATCAACAGCAGTCTCTAAGGACAAGAGTGAAAAAATCAAATCATTGAATTTGGTGGTGAATGACTGAACACAAATGCTAGTGTGGCAGTAGCTCTCATTCTTGGACTATAAACCTAGCCAAACCTTTGTCTGAGGAGTTAATAAATGAATGGTAGCCTAATCATTCTTATCAGTGCTTCTGAATCAGCAGCAGAGTAACAGCCTCCCACTGTATCTAAAGCAGTAACTAGTGTTCTCCATGTGACCAAGCTTTGTTCTGGAAATTCTGTTGTCGGAGAAATGGGTATGAGAAAGTTTTGGTTTGTTTTTTTTTTAAATAATAATAAAAATAATCCATAAAAGTAGAACTGAAGCCCAAAGGCAACAATCAGTCCGTCCCACAGACTGTCACTCAGGTTAGGGAACATCAGACAACGCTTATGTACTGAGCGCCCCCCTAGAGTGGTACCTATTTATTTTCAGTCTATCATGACATATTTACAGCTTCGTCTCTCAGCAGTCCCTACTGAGACTCCAGGGATCCACGCTGGCCCGTCATGAATGTTATTTTTCTTGTGCTACTACTGCTTAGAGCCAATAGAAGATATTCAGCAAGGAATTAAGAGCCTGTGTTAATGTGATTTCTGTCATCCCTCTATATCCTGGATTAAGTTAAATATACTTTTTTTTCTTCTTCCCTGCTTCAGCTATTTCCAAACATATATGGTACAGACCTTTGCACTACCTACATCTGTACTAGAAAATCGGGACTGTACTAGGGGATTACAGCTGCCCAGTACAGACAATCCCTGTCCACTCTATTTAAACCTCTTAGCCTCAAAACAAGGTGGTCATGTACTTGTTCAAAATGGGGTCCTGGTTGGAGCTAATCCTTGAATAATGCCCATAAATCATTTGGGAGAATCCTGCTTGGGCTTGGCCAAAATCCAGCCATGGACTCATCTAACACTTTAAATGTAGACAGTGCAGTGCTTGGGAATATTTCCCAACATTACTTTTTTAATAGCACTGCTGTAGAGAACAAAAAAGAAACTCAAAGTCATAAAAAAATCCAACATCAGGTGCTTTGGTTTTACAGTTGCTCTTTCTTTTGTTTTCATTTAAAGTCCCTTTTTTTCTCTTGTGGTCTAGGAAGCACACACAGTATAGCATACGTGCAAGCATACAGAACAGAACCTGTCAAATCCCAAAATGATTGTTTCTTTGCAATCATACCTGGTCTCTTCTTTCTTGACATGCTCTCCTAGAATCATGTTCACATATCTAGCACACTGAAGTCAAACAGACCCGCGCTTATTAGTAAAGAAACAGATCTCTCATCACCAGTGCTCCTACCAGCCAGTTCTTTGGTCAAAACCACCACTCAATCTACCAAAATTGTATCCTACTGATTTACCAAATTATTCATGCTTCTGTGAACAACCTGATTAGCTGTAAACTCTACTATAATAATAGACACTCTATTATAATAATGGACACTGGAGATATTATATTTATGTAAACTATACAATTGCTTTCATAAACCATAAAATGCATTCAAACCAGAACAAGTCCAACTGCTTTTCAGACCCTAATGGACAAAGAGAGACTGAGCCTCTCTAGGGGATACCCTAAACTGTAGCATTCAGCAGATCTAAATTGAAAACTGAGTTGCATTAGAGAGCAGGAAAGTATTCATAGGAGAAAGGGACACAGCTCTTGTCTGAGTGTGACAGGTCCCACGCCAAGGTCACTGGCTAATGGGTTATTCAAGCATTCACTGTTGATGCAAAGTCAATCTGTTCCTACCCAGTTATGCAGATAGGCCACATCCTTCCTCAGTTTCACTGTCCTTTCTCAAACAGATACACAAGGACAGTGGTTTTGAATCTTGTCCTTTCTCAAAACAGATATGCAGATGCAAGAACAGCAGTTTGAAGTCTGTACAAAGGGGAAAAGATCTGCCTGAAGATAAAATCCCTCTCTGGTATTACCTAGTAGCAGTAACTCCAAGGTTCTGAGACCGTATTTAGCTTTACAGAATAAAACATAACAAGATGTCAAAATGTGCATAAATAAATTAGAACCATTATTCCAGCTCAAGGTTCTGGGGACATAAACAATCCTCTTGAAGTTCTCTGTGACATATTTTGCAGTGGGAGCCAGTCATTAGCATTGCCTCCTGTATGCAGAGAGCTATACACACGTTCTGTCTTAGGACCTGGCAGCGTGGTGCAGAAATCAACAGGCCTGCCTTGGAAAAGAAAGCAAAACAGTCCAGCGCCAATTCCCTGCCCCTGAGCATGAGTTGGATGGCACAGCTCGTGTCCATATGGCTAAATTTTCTCCTTCTGCTCACTCCCCAAAGAGGAGTCCTCATCCATATCTGCCTGCTTGGAATAGTCCCTGGCTCCTGCTGTTGCCCATGCCATATCAGTCAGACTGCTGTCTGGCATAGGCAACATCATGCTATGGAGAATGCTAACAGTGAAGCACCACAGGCCACTAACGTCAACTGCTCCTGGCACTGTCCAGTTCACTAACACAGATATAGGCTGGGATTTCTGCTAGCACAAGTTTACACTCCCATAAATGACTCTGAGTTCCATAATGAGAAATTCAGTAAGTGAGGTCCAAAAAAGGGCATGAGGAATGAAGACGTACATACATTATGTGAACAGAACTGTACCAGGTGAGACCACAGATCCATCCCACTATCCTCCAGCACTGAACGATGGGCTGGATCAGGGTAAGCATGTTGTGATACTTCCTCAGAATCCTCTCCTGCAGCAGTCCATGAATCAGAGACTTCTTGAAGCAGAAGTGAGATTCTGGTATCCAACAGCCCTCTGAAGATGCTTCTGAAAGAAAAATTTCACATTTAAATGCTGCATAAGTGAAAAGTCAGTGAAAATAGGCTTCAGCAGTTTGAGTTATAAACAAAGGGCAAAGCTGTTCATTCAGAAAATGCATTTTACATCAAAAGAACATCAAAACTAGGACAAACAAAAGTACTGTCGTCACAGTGCTGCATCAAGGTGAAAGCTACAGTCTCTGGGAGCAAAATGGCACTGACATCTTCACAGGTCTTTGCTTGGACTCATTGAGCACAAAACAAGAAACAGAACAAATTTCATAGCATATTCTAGGCAGACCCAGCTGTTAGAGAAATCCAAATGAATGGCTAATAATGCAGCAGCAAAATGTAGGATCCTTTCTATTTTTTAACTGATAATTTTTATGGCATAGTTTTCTCCTGACATTTATTTGTTTGTCCCTTTAAGGTTTTGAAAAGCCACCATAACAGCTGTGTCTTTGGGTCCTGATTGGTATTTTGAGCTACTTTCTAAATCCATATTAGGACCCAAGGCAGCTGCAGCAGTAAGAACTGTTCCATTTCTGAGTGGGAAATTCCATGAGATAAAACATTCTTGCATTTTGTCCAGCAGAAATACTGTATTTCCACTGAAAATGCCTTACTAATAAGCTCACCAGCGATGGCTTTTCTAGAAATAATACAACAGAGGACTTTTGACCCTCTCTCTTTCCATCTCTCCTTTCTCCTCCCCCTTTTCTGCTGCTCTTTGTCAAAATGTGAGCAAGTTGGTCAGAACAAAAAATTAAAAACACTTTTTCATACCGATAATAAAGAAACAGACATTCCTTTACTTCTACCTTTATGTTTAAAGAACACACAACTTGTTGACTGCTGAGAGGAAAGACTCCCTATAAACTTACCCAACATAGAATCATGGAATTCTTACACATGGAAGGGACCTTCAAAGGCCATCTAGACTAACTCCCTTGTAATCAACAGGGTTACCTACAGCTACATCAGGTTGCACAAAGCCTCATCCAGCCTGACATTGAGTGTCTCCAGGGATGGGGAAACCACCACACCTCTGGGCAACCTGTGCCAGCGCCTTACCACCCTCACTGCAAAAGACTTTTTCTGTACAACCAACCTAAATCTATCCTCTTTAAGCTTGAAGCTATTTCCCCTTGTTCTGTTACCACAGACTGCTAAAAAAGTCTGTCCTCTTCTTTCCTGCAGCTCCTGTTTACATACTGACAGGCCACTCTCAAGTCACCTCAGATCCTTTTCTTCTCCAGGATGAACAGCCCCAGCTCTCTCAGCCTGTCTTCATAGAAGAGGTGTTCCATCCCCTGCATCATTTTTGTGGCCATCCTCTGGACATGCTCCAACAGGACATGTCTGTCCTGTACTGCTGACTTCACATCTGGATGCAGTACTCCAGCAAGGGAAGGTTCTTGCCTTGCCCTGTATATACACACAGCTTAGTCGCAGCCACACAGGTGCAAGTTTTAACACCTGTGATCTGATTCCTCTGAGACTTCCCCTCACCTCAACTTATTTCTTAAATATTATACAAAAGTTGTTGCACTGTTTTATTTGGAAAATTAGGGAATCAGAAATTAAGCTGGAGCGACAGGGGTCCTTCCGATTAGTGTGTAAATCAAGAAGAATGCAGTCCATAGCAAAATTTGGGAAGCATGTAGCTACAAGGTTCTGCAACGCAGAATTCCTATATTCTATGTATTGCCATCTGATAGATATTAGAGGAACGCTGGTTGTGTTATTTGGCTCTGTTCTGCCAAAAAATGTTCTCGTCTATAAAATGGCAACAGTAGCACTGACATCCTCAAAGAAATCCTGTGGGGACAGTGAACTGAGTGACGGTGTTCCTACACGGGGCAAATATTAAATGAAGGACAGGGCAGCCCATTACCACCTGATGGCCTCCTCATATGTCAGTGTCAGAGAAGTATATATGGGTCTTGGCATGCAAATCATTCTCATTCCTAACTACTGTTATTACTGTTCATCAACTATTCCAGAACACAAGACCAAGGCTTTGCCAGCAAAGGCCATGGAGAAAAAGCGATCGATACTGTGATCGCTAGATATTGGACAGGTAACTCATGAAATACAGAGTTCAAAGATACACAGGACTAGCATGGGATCCATTCCATTTCACTGCCTAGTAGCAATTATATGAAGCCACCAACTTCATATAATTGCCACTAGACATAAACAAGCTGATTGTAATACTATTTATACCGAGTAAATTATATGTCCCTTCACCAGGAGGAACAATTTTTGTTGTGCTCCACTCAGATTGCCAGAAAGGTAGGGAACCATACAAGCTAGTGGGGAAAGATCTGTGATTTTATCTTACTTTTTCCTTTAATCCAAGACAGCACTGATATAGCTATTTCCAATCTCTAATCAGCTTCCGATCACTAATGCTTCAGATCAGAACACAGCCAGACTATCAATGCAAAGCATAAAAATATAGTGCTTACAGTTATATGTGCAAGACCAAATTAAGTATGAGACGGGGAGGAAGGGAATGCAGGACAAATGAAATAAAATCACATCAGAACACATTTGGGTTACAAAGCATTTCAGAAATAATCTAGGGGAAAAAAAAAGAAAAAAAAAAGTAAAACGATCCCTCAAACTAACCAATAACTGTAGTAAACCAGCCATAGACAAGGGCTTAGGACTCAGTGCCGGCTTTGTACCCAAGGGAAGCATGTTTATCATGTGGAAACTAGAGGAAGGGTGGCAGGTGCTACAAACTCTTCAGAAACATTTTTAAAGCAGTTTCAAACATCCTCTCAGAAAGAAAAGTTTTATAGAGTGTCCCCAAGCTTCTCACATCCTTCTGGTGATCTTAATGTTTCAGAGCATGCATGGAAAAAACAAGGGCATCTCTATAAGGTACCCTCACAGCAACTGGGAAAGGGCTAGCAGACAGGAGGGGCTTTACAGAAATACCCCCATGACGTTCTTCATTTCTTCCTCCCTGCTATGTCCACGGAAGAGGAAGGGCAGTCATAATAAATACAGGATTCCCCAGAAAACTAAGACAGGCCATGCATAACATTATATTCCATTTCTTTCCCCTCTGGTGGTTAGAGTCCACATTACAGAGGCACACCTTATCGCTGAAGACAGACAATTAAAGAAGGGAACGGTTGTCAAGCAAATGGTCTGTGTTCTTGTGAAACCATTTCACCATTCTTCCACAAACAGGAAAATATTTAGCAAGAGGTGTGCAAACTGGGTACAGATGCAAGAGTATGATTGAAAGGTGGCTGTCATCTGCTGGAAGCAGATCTAGACTTACGGTTTCAGCACGAAAAATATTTCCTCTGTCCTGAGGATTTTCTTCCTCCGGCCTGAAAGTGCTTGCTACTCCAATCCTGAAATTTCAAATGTTTTCTATTCACACTTCCAATAACAAACTATAAACTGCAGTACTATATTTACAGTATTTTTCTGAAAAACTTCTGACCCCAGCAAAAATATTCCCCTGCTTGCTCACATAGACCAAAGCATTTGAGCCATTAGAAAACACAGCAAAGGACAAAACATTTAGCTGTTAAAGCCCACTTATCCAGCTAGCTTCTCTGTGTTTCTCTCTAAACCCTTTGGAGCTTCAGTTCAGTGACATGAGAAACTCCCAAATCTGGGAAGTGGTCAGCCTGCAGAGAAAGTACTATCCAGTTGCTTTGATGTGTTCTGGTGAGACTCTACATTTCTCCAAAAGCCCTGGAGACACACACTATAGTAAATAAGAGTTGAAATTAGCCCGTATATTCACCATTAAAATCCTGCTTAATCCTCATTTTGAAGACTTAAGTGAGACTTAAGCAGTACGTAGCTTCGTACCAGGTCCTCTTTGTGTTGGCACACATTTCACCCAGGCAAGACAATATTTGCTCAGGTGCAGTACCTTGGGTGAGAGTTAATCCCTTTCATTTCTGACACAATAGTTATTATGTACAATAACTAATAAAAGCCACTCTCAAGATAGACAACCTACACATTTGCAATTTCCTCTCATGTACTCCTTAGCCTTTCATAAGCTCCTTTGATCCTGCATAGGTGTCGATCTTTGCATGCTTATAGGTCACAAGAAAGTTCATCTCACGTTAATGGTCTGGTCACCTTAAGATGCATTGATTTTAACTCGTCTTCATTTTCAAATATCAATTTCTCATCTTATTTCAGCCCTCCGTTATTCTTGAAGACGTCAAGTTGTCAAAACAGTGATGTTGCTTGGACTTCGTATTAAATATGAAAAAGTCAAGTTAAACACTGAAGTTCTTTCTTGCCTGGCCTATTGAGGGCAGAAAACTAAGACAGAGGCTGCACCCTTCCTTGTCAGCAGAGAGCTCAGTCATGTGAGGCAGGATTTATTTGAGCCCCTAATGCAGGAGCCCAATTGCATGGGCTTCTTGCCCATTGATCTGACACACAAATTACCCAAAACGTACAACAGCTCAAAATGCAGCTTCTTCACCTCCAGCATGCTCCCAGGCTCAGGACATGGTGGGAAACCTGCAGTGAGGACTCCACGTTGAGGGAGAGGTGGTGGGCTGCCCAAGGCAGAGACCCTCACAGCACCCCAGCAAAGGCAGGGGGCTGCTGCTGCCTTCTGAGCAAAGTATGGCGCTCCTCACTTCTCTCCCTTTTTTTCCTTCTACTCACTTCTACTGGAGCAACAAGATGTCCTCTACAGTTTTTCCCTTTTCTTTTTTCCCCACAAACCACCACTAGCAGACTAATATACCCCAAATTCCACATTCTTTGCTGTTTCAAACAGGACCAGATGCTCCCGGAGACAGCGAGCAAGGCTAGAGGGACTGGACTTAATCTTTTCTGGGAAGGCAAACCTTATAGGATTGTTTGTTTTCATTCTGCTGTGAGACATTCCAGCTAGTGGGAAGTTTCAAGAACTTGTTCCAATGGCTTGTTTCTCCTGCTCTCTCCCATGACAAATTGAAATCAATATTTTTGGATTCTTCTCATTCCCTTAAAGACTCT